AAGAGGCATATGGTGAGGATTCCCCATCACAGGATGGAGTCAAGAACCGGCCTCGTCCGTTCCAATGTGGTCGGACTTTGGTGCAAACCGCTCCAATTCCAGGGTGACCCCTCTGCTCTTGATGAACACACCATCCAGCAAGTGGAGGTCACCATTTTGGGAAATCACCGCGTAACCATTCTCCACCTAGCCCAAAATGTCAAGATGAGCGTGGGGTCCGTGGAAAAAAATCCCCCAAGACCATCTTCCCATGCATACGGCATCCGCTCGCTGGGTCCCCCAAATGCTCTCAGGCTCTCTTGACAATGATGTGCCATGGCAACCAGGAGGACTTTTTCCACAGACTGATCACACAGGAGGAAATCTGGGTCCATCCCTCTGATCCTGAGACTCAAGTCCAGTCGATGCCATGGAAGCATCCTGACTCCATGCCTCCAAAGAAAGCCCGTGCCCAATCTTGGCAGGCAAGGCCATGCTCACAGCATTTTGGGACCAGCACGGAGAAGGCTGGGGGATTTCCTAGCAAAGGGGACCATAATCACCGGGGCAGACCAGGCTTCACTGCTGCGGAAATTGTGGGAGGCCATCCAAACCAAGAGACCACGTGGCATGCTCCCCAGAGGTGTCCTTTGCCTTCTGCAAGACAAGGCACCAGTTCCCAACTCACCTGTTGCCCAAATGGAAGAAGCTTGCTCCTGTGGAGCAGAAATTCGACCGCATCCCCCTTATCCACCCAACCTCGCACCATCGGACTTCCACCTCTTCCCACCAATGAAGTTATTTTTGAAGGGCAAGCATTTGTCAGATGAGGAGACTCTGATTTCTGAAGTCACCACGTGGCTTTTGGAGCAAGCTGCCGACTTCTGCAAGCGAGGTGTTGACAGTTGCTTCAAAAGACGGGAGGAGCGTGTGTCCTTGAAAGGTGGCCCCATGGAGAGAAGGAGGGCTCAGGACTGGGCCGTGCCCCGTTGCTCTCAGTCCACCGGAAGAGGGTCCACAGGGGAGATCTTGAATGAACGCCCCTCCTATATCTTGTATTTTTTCTTTGCTCAATGATCTTATTCCCTATTGAAGCCCTTTGTGTACAAGTCACGGAACAGTTGCATTTGGGGTTGTGTCACCTTTAATGTTTGAGGAGTTTCACCTGTCATCTCCCCAAACTTTCCCTTGTTTCAGCCTTTGCTCTCTTCCCTGATGACACGCCTCCTTTCAACCCACACTTCTTCATTAGATTGGCTATATTCAAATGGTGCACATTTGCGTTTGTTTTGGAGGTGTTTTGCATCGTCTTTAATGAGTAACAGCATTAAATCCCTTTCTACTGACTTCCTTATCTCTAGGCAAACTTCTTGTCTTAGAGGTATAACTGCAGGTTCAAATCCGGGGAGAGGCGGATGAGCTCCCTCTATTAGCTCCAGCTCCTCATGCGGGGACATGAGAGAAGCCTCCCACAAGGATGATAAAACATCAAAAATCATCCAGGCGTCCCCTGGGCAACGTCCTTGCAGACGGCCAATTCTCTCACAACAGGAGCGGTTGCTCCTGACACGACCAAAAAAATAACTGCATTTGGTTGAATTGCTCTAATCCCCTCTAAACCTTCATCTGATCCTGATTGTGAACGTTACATAGGATCAATTTCTAAGCTGAAGAACCGGCTTTGCCTGGAGACATCCCCAAGGTCATGTGGCCGGCATGACTGAATAGAGCGCCGTTTTTGCATGTTTTCGAACTGCTAGGTTGGCAGAAGCTGGGGCTAACAGCAGGAGCTCATGTCGCTCCCTGGATTCGAACCTGCGGCCTTTCGATCAGCAAGTTCAGCAGTTCAGCGGTTCAACCCACTGCGCCCCACACCGAGGGCTCCGTGTGAATAGAGAGAGAACACTGAATCGCCGTGCTCCGTTCTTTATATGACATTGTCCTTGTGAAACGTAGAGCGTCTGGAGGAACAAGTTATTCCAGCAAAACCTTTTGGGGGCTTTGTGAGTGAAATGGTTGCAAATACTTCAACCGAGAGGTGGACAAGGCATTGTTTGGCCATGCGTTTATGACCGTCATTTCTGCCCTTGGGGTCAGTGTCCAGGAACGCATTTTCCCTTTCGAAGCTTTTTTTGATATCTTTAAAATAATAATAAGAAGAAGAAGAAGAAGAAGAATTTGGCAACCGCTTGCAGTGCCGTTGGGTTCATTGCTAGATAATGTTTCCGTTGCCATTTCTCATGAAGACACCAGCTATTTGTTATGGGCATGGATTAGTGTTTTACCTGCCAACATGAAGCTCTGTGGGCGTAATGGAAACATACCAATGGGGATAAGCTGGACCTTTGGCAGAGGTAGGCGCAGCCGGAACCCAAGCTGAACTCGAGCTGCATCAAAGGACGGAAACATGGAATCACGCTGATGGCGGAGGGCCCCCGCCAACGATTGGCCTGCACTGCAGCGGAGAGTTCCGCAGTTCCTGGTTGTCACAATTGAAAGAAACTGATGAAATGTGCCCCAGCAGGCAGCTCAATAATAAGAATGCCTGCAGCCTTTCTCTGCTTTCCCCTCTCCCTACCTTGTAACAAGCCCTAATAAAAGTACTTGAAACTTGCAACATTTAATCTTTCCGCTTGATACGTTTGTATCTTTCCCTGCCTCAGACTAATTCGACATTAAAAATAAATCTTTTTCCAGGCTCCGGAGAGCTGTGAGCCTGCTGGGGGGGCGCCTACTGGCCCCCCGGACCCCGGATCTGCGTTCGGAAAAATCGCGGATACCGAAACCGCCATTTTGGACCCCAGTAACCACTAAAACAGTAAAATGGTGGATTGACGCCGTTCTAATTTTGTATTTTTCTGCTATTAATTCTAAGACTAACTGCCATCTCGCTTTCCTCCTTTTGGACTCCTGCACCCGGGGAATAATCATTTTGTTTAAAGTATTATTATTTGACAGCAAACAGCTGATTGTCAAAACTGTGCCGGCTCGGCAAAAGCAGCCTGCTTTCCTTTGCTGCCGCTCGTTCCTGCTCAGTCCCGCCATCAGGGGCTTGCTGTGGGCACCCATAGGAGGTCCCGGAGAAGCGGCCAGGCGGGGACCCCGGCCCCAGCGCGGGAGATCTAGTTCGCCAAGGGCCGGGCAATGGACTCTTACTACCCAACCCAGCACCCATCACTGGACTTCTGCCTTTTCTTATTGACTCTCTGCTTCATGAACTGAACTGTTTACCATATCCCTAGCCACGAACTTTCTGGTGATGTTTGCCTTGAAATGCAAGCAGCCTCCGTTTCCACGCGCCTTTGCCAGAGGACTATGAGATCTCCAGTTTGCGTTATATTAAAGATCAAATATTGTAATAAATTTTCCTGGGATGGGGATGGGGTTTTCCCCTTGTGAACTATGTATAAGAAAATGTCATATATGTAACCCTTATGGATTCCCCTTGTACCCTTGCCCTCTCGACCCTTGCCCCACAAAATACTGTGACCAGGAACTGCCTGAGGGAGAATCTCTACATCTCCCAAGACTCACCCTTGATTAATTCACCCTGCATGGAACCATAGCCATAATGGACCCTGCCCATTCTCTGAGCATGTCTGATGGGATTAGGGGACTTATGGCCACTCGGAATAAAAGATTGTATTTGCATAAAGGTATCGTTGATCCCCCCTGAGGTCCGATGCCGAAATAGTCATTCATATCCCCCTCCAAAGCTCATCAAGGACAGGAAAATCCTTTGTTCCCCTATATCACACCCCGCCAGTGAGGACAAAAGCCTCGCATTCCAGCTGGCGGATGCCCCTAAGCTCATCATTTCCTCAGCCATTGTCAAGCCTCGTCCCGCCTCCTAGCCGCTGATTGGCCCATCTTCAGAAGCGCTAGAAAGGCACTGATTGGCCTCCCAGAGGCGGCGGAGCCCGCTGATTGGTCAGGAGGTGAAGCGTGCCGCCAAGCCTCCTCCCAGCTGTTCCGCGGCCAGCCAATCAGCACGAAGCCAGCCGGCAGAGGGCGGGTGGGAGTTTTGAAATGTTTTCCTTTGTTCTTCTGCTATAAATACGTCTGTATTCTTTGTATTGGTATGCTTGCAGCGGAATGATTCCTGCAATGCATCTGATTTCAGCTGAATCACAAATAAACCTCGGTTGCTGGAAACTTCTTCCACCTTGATGGGGCATTATTATTTTTAATATTTTTATCATAATTTGGCTTTGCTGGCCTCACCAAGGTATCCAGGGCCCTTTTGGCACGGTCCTCGGGTTCTCTTCTCTTGAGGAGACCCTACTAAAAGTAGCTCGATATCAACACCTCACAGAAACTGCTCAAACAGACTTTGTTTTCTAAGGCAATCAAGGCGATAATCGGTACCGGGCAGCATTTCTCAACCTGGGGGCCAGGACCCCTATGGGGGTCATGAGGGGGGTGTCAGAGGGGTCACCAAAGACCACCAGAAAACACAGTGTTTTATGTTGGCCACAGGAGTTCTGTGTGGGAAGTTTGGCCCAATTCTGTCGTTGGGGTTCAGAATGCTCTTTCATTGTAGGTGAAGTATACATCCCAGCAACTACAACTCCCAAATGCCAAGGTCTATTTCCCCCAAACTCCACCAGTGTTCACATTTGGGCATATTGAGTATTGGTGCCAAGTTTGGTCCAGATCCATCACAGTTTGAGACCACAGTGCTCTCTGGAGGTAGGTGAACTACAACTCCAAAACTCAAGGTCAAAGCCCACCAAACCCTTCCAGTATTTTCTGTTGGTCATGGGAGTTCTGTGTGTCAAAATTTGTTCAATTCCATCATTGGTGGAGTTCAGAATGCTCTTTGATTGTAGGTGAACTATAAATCCCAGCAACTACAATTCCCAAATGACAAAATCAACCCCCCCCCAACCCCACCAGTATTCAAATTTGGGCGTATGGGGCATTTGTGCCAAATTTGGTCCAGTGAATGAATATACATCCTGCGTATCAGGTGTTTACATAACCGTAGCAAAATTACAGTTATGAAGTAGTGACGAAAATAGTTTTATGTTTGGGGGCCTCACAACCTGAGGGACTGAATTAAGGGGTCGCGTCATTAGGAAGGTTGAGAGCCACTGGTGTGGATACACATTTCCTGGGAATTGTAGTCTGACCAGGTCTTTTTCCTTCTCTGCCAAGGAGTGCTGGTGCCTCACCCAATCCCAACTCCCAGCACGGCTGCGCGGGAGTTCAAGCGCCATCAAACCCCATGAATTCTACAGCGGAGCAGCGGCACCCTAAAGTTTCCTTTTCTGGCCAAGACACGTAATCGCCGATTCCAAAGCCAAGTCATTTCCTGTATTCCCCAAAGTATTGTAAACTGCCTTGTGTAAGTATTTATTCACATCTAAGTATGGAAACGCCTCTTAAGTGGAAGTTCTTAAGAGTTCCATTTATGATAAACATGACGTAGATGTGCGTAGGTGCCGCACTTTGCAGCGTTTCCAAGTCTGACACCACTGGGTTACTATGGACTCTGGCAATTCCCCTCCAAGAGCGTTGGCCTTATTATGTTTGACTAACATGGATAGGAAAACAACTCAGTGGAAACTGGAAGGAGGCATCACGTCGTGTGGGCCCGATTCATTTCCTCCGCGTCCACCCTGTTATCTCCCAAATGGCTTCTGGAGCCGCAAAGATCAATATTTGCTTTCTAAATGGAGCTGTACAGGAGTTGATTGTAAATTGTATGATTTTGACTGTATTTGTGTTTAGATTGGCTGCAGTAATGCTGGAGCGGCCTAAGTCTGAGGAGTCCTCCATGTGTGTTGCCATGGAGACCGATGCAGGAGAGAGGGAAGTGGGAGGTGTCAGGGTGAGCCCCTCAGGGCTGCGCAGCATACAAAAACACATAGATTCAATTAGCACACAGCAGTCCTCTCCGGTTTCAAAATAATAAACTTTACTGGAAGCCCCTTCTATATGCGACTACATGTTGATGAGGAAAGATGGCGACTGACAAAGTACAGGACTAAACACACAGACAAAGAAAAATCTGCCTTCCTGTCTTATCTATCTTGTAGCTGGTTGACTCCCTTTTGTTCTCAGGGCTGTTATCTCAGTCTCAAGGACTTTACTCTCTGGCCTATAACAACAATAATCTACTACACAAATGAACAAAAATGAGCATGACTGAAACCATCTTGAATTACATTATTAACACATTGAAAAACATACATATAATATTTGCAATTATCCTGACAGGAGGAGCTTAGAGGGGAGAGTTTGAAAGAACGACAGTTAAAAATCAGTTAGGGTTTAGGTTCCGAGGAGTGAGGAGTTAGGGTTTAGGTTCCGAGGAGTGAGGAGTTAGGGTTTAGGTTCCAAGGAGTGAGGAGTTAGGGTTTAGGTTTAGAGGAGTGAGGAGTTAGGGTTTAGGTTCAGAGGAGTGAGGAGTTAGGGTTTAGGTTCAGAGGAGTGAGGAGTTAGGGTTTAGGTTTAGAGGAGTGAGGAGTTAGGGTTTAGGTTTAGAGGAGTGAGGAGTTAGGGTTTAGGTTCAGAGGAGTGAGGAGTTAGGGTTTAGGTTTAGAGGAGTGAGGAGTTAGGGTTTAGGTTTAGAGGAGTGAGGAGTTAGGGTTTAGGTTCCGAGGAGTGAGGAGTTAGGGTTTAGGTTCCGAGGAGTGAGGAGTTAGGGTTTAGGTTCCGAGGAGTGAGGAGTTAGGGTTTAGGTTCCGAGGAGTGAGGAGTTAGGGTTTAGGTTTAGAGGAGTGAGGAGTTAGGGTTTAGGTTCCGAGGAGTGAGGAGTTAGGGTTTAGGTTTAGAGGAGTGAGGAGTTAGGGTTTAGGTTTAGAGGAGTGAGGAGTTAGGGTTTGAAAAAGTTCGTTGGAAGCTGCAGATACTGTGACAAACAGATATATATATAGAAGGTTTTAAATAATTGTAATAGAAGTGATCCACTAGCTTCGATTAATGCAGATCAATACCACTTGAACTGCCAAGGCTCAGTGCTATGGAATCCTGGGATTTCTAGTTTTCCCTCTTTTTTCCAACTTTCATATTTCCATAGCACTCAGCCACGGCAGTATAAGTGGTATCAAACTGCATTAACTCTACAGTGTAGATCAAGCATGAACAAAAATGAATATGACTGAAACCATCTTGAATTACATTATTAACACATTGAAAAACATACATATAATATTTGCAATTATCCTGACAGGAGGAGCTTAGAGGGGAGAGTTTGAAAGAACGACAGTTAAAAATCAGTTAGGGTTTAGGTTCCGAGGAGTGAGGAGTTAGGGTTTAGGTTTAGAGGAGTGAGGAGTTAGGGTTTAGGTTCAGAGGAGTGAGGAGTTAGGGTTTAGGTTTAGAGGAGTGAGGAGTTAGGGTTTAGGTTTAGAGGAGTGAGGAGTTAGGGTTTAGGTTCCGAGGAGTGAGGAGTTAGGGTTTAGGTTCCAAGGAGTGAGGAGTTAGGGTTTAGGTTCCGAGGAGTGAGGAGTTAGGGTTTAGGTTCCGAGGAGTGAGGAGTTAGGGTTTAGGTTTAGAGGAGTGAGGAGTTAGGGTTTAGGTTCAGAGGAGTGAGGAGTTAGGGTTTAGGTTTAGAGGAGTGAGGAGTTAGGGTTTAGGTTTAGAGGAGTGAGGAGTTAGGGTTTAGGTTTAGAGGAGTGAGGAGTTAGGGTTTAGGTTCCGAGGAGTGAGGAGTTAGGGTTTAGGTTCCGAGGAGTGAGGAGTTAGGGTTTAGGTTTAGAGGAGTGAGGAGTTAGGGTTTAGGTTTAGAGGAGTGAGGAGTTAGGGTTTAGGTTCCGAGGAGTTAGCGTTTAGGTTTAGAGGAGTGAGGAGTTAGGGTTTAGGTTTAGAGGAGTTAGGGTTTAGGTTTAGAGGAGTGAGGAGTTAGGGTTTAGGTTCCGAGGAGTTAGGGTTTAGGTTTAGAGGAGTGAGGAGTTAGGGTTTAGGTTTAGAGGAGTTAGGGTTTAGGTTTAGAGGAGTGAGGAGTTAGGGTTTAGGTTTAGAGGAGTTAGGGTTTAGGTTTAGAGGAGTGAGGAGTTAGCGTTTAGGTTTAGAGGAGTGAGGAGTTAGGGTTTAGGTTCCGAGGAGTGAGGAGTTAGGGTTTAGGTTTAGAGGAGCTGGTAGAGGAAAGGATTAGGAGGTTGTAGCTGAAAGAGAGTGAATTGTGAAGCAAAGTTTCGAGGCTTTGGAAAGCCAGATTAAGCTACTGGAAGTTCCTTAGCCTAGAGAGGCTGATAAGGGAAACGAAGCCAGTATTCCTTTAGTCTAAGGAAAGGCTAAAGAATAATCTGATTAAGTATCTGATCAAGGGAGGATCAGACAAGGGAGACATCCCTGTATTGAAACTTTGTTTGGTAATAAGTGCTTCACCTCAGGAAGATACATACGGTGTAACCTGAAAGAGTGTAACGTTCAACTAACCAAGCATTGTTCTGAGTTCTATAACCAAAGTTACGTCTTGCAACCTCACGCTGTGTACTTAATAAAATTGTTAACTTTTATTTGAAGATTGCCTCAGCTCCGTCTAATCTGTGTACCAGGTGCCATTTCTCACAATATGACAACTTACCTCACGTGGTGGCAGAAATGCAGGGAAAGTAACCAAATGAAACTACATTCTTCTCTCCAGTCACGCTAGAGTAGATACAGTGTGATTACTACTAAGTTATTACTTCCTTAATAAAGGAGGAGGTGCAATTGAACAGCCTCCCTTCCAACTTGATGGTAAATTTGGTTCCTAATCGGCCACCTCCATTGCAAATCGGCCAGTTCTTTTTTAAATTGGGAACTGGGGTAAAATCTCCTGAATACTGGTTCCTATCAAATTGGTGGCAACAACCAATCATCCCTCGGCTCCCTTGCTTTTCTCTTCAGGAGCCATAAGGCGAAATGACACGTGCGTGAAATATTATTCAATGCAACCACTGAAACAAGCAGTCGTGAGTAGGTGGGCCACACCGTGACTAAAAACTGGAATGTCTAGGAAATGGTTTATTTTTCAACGTTATCCATCACTACTGAATATCTAAAGAAGTTGTTTATTCCAAATTGGGAATCTGGCATTTTCCAGATGTTGCTGGACTGCAGACGAAGAGACCAAGGCTAATGGAAACTGCGAGAAAGGAAAGAAGGCACATCTCTGAATGCTCCATGCGTGTATTCATTGTTTGGTTTGGAACAGACCAATGGGAATGTGGGAGTTGAGGGTTCAGGCACGTTGCTTTCCCACAATCTGGCTTCTTGGGGTGCCAACCCGAATTGGAGATCCCACGTCGCTGCTTTAAAAAAGGAAAACCCAGGTGCATTTTGCACAATTGTGTCCTTGAAGACTAGAATCCAAGAGTTGGAAAAGACTTTGTGGACCGTCCACATTCTGCCAAGAAGCAGGAAAATTGCATTCAAAGCACCCTGGAGAGATGGTCATCCAGCCTCTGCTTCAAAGCCTCCAAAGAAGGAGCCTTCATCACACTCCCTCCGGGGCAGAGAGTTCCACTGCTGAACAGCCCGCTCTCACAGTCAGGAAGCCCTTCCTCATGTTCAGGCCGGATCTCCTTTCTTTCCTGTAGTCTGAAGCCCTTGTTCCCTCGCATCCTGGTCTCCAAGGAGGCAGAAAGGAAGCCTGCTCCTCCCTCCTCCTCCTCCTCCTCCTCCTCCTCCTCCTCCTCCTCGCTGGGACATCTTCCCCTCACCTCTGCACACATGGCCCTCTTCTGGTCTCCCCTCGGCCTTCTCTTCTGCAAGAACCATCATTTGCCAAAGAAGGATGGTGTTGGGTTAGACCAGGCCTGGGCCAACTTGGGCCCTCCCTCCCTCCCTCCCTCCCTCCCTCCCTCCAGGTGTTTTGGACTTCAATGATTTTGGTTCAATGGCCCATAATGCCAATCATAATAATAATGGGGAGAAGAGGAGTGACCGTTGAGAAGGCTCAGGTTTGAAGGATGACTGTTGGAAATGTCAGTTGAGCCTCCTGGAGCCTGTTCGAAGTGAGAGTTGAGCCTTCTTGAGTGAGGAGCTTGAGTGTAGAAGTCTGCCAGAGCACAGAAGAAGCTGTTGCTGGGAAGTTAAAACTACTGTGTTAGGAAGTTAAAACAACTAAACACTTTTGATTTTTTAAGATTTCTACCTGAAGGCTGCTGACCTTGAATTCCTCCTCCTCCTCTCTTTGATTAAAGATTGTTTTGGTGTAGTTCGTTTTGGAGGAGAGATGTGAGCCTTCCATTAAACACCGGTTCCCCCCACTGACCCCAGAGTTGAAACCCTTGTGAAACCCCAAATGACTACTAATCCATGTGGTGTTGTTAATGACAATCCCTGGTGAGTATTGAGGCAGAGGACAAGGGACAAATGGCGGCAAAGAAAGCATGAATGTCAAGTTCACATTGTGGTTTGCAACAGCCCCCAATCACAGGATTTTTTCAACACGATGTGGTGCCTAGAAATAAAGAGAACAACGTGGTAAAGGAGGAGAACTCTACTCGACCACTCAGAAATAGGGATATTATTCAGAAACTTAGTTGTTACCAAAGAAGGAGGACAGGAGGGTTACTAAATCTGACAAAGAGGAGCAGGATAAGCTAGTAGACTTGCAGGGTTCTCCACCTTCCTACTGCCGCCGCGACCCCTTAATACACAGTAGTTCCTCATGTGGTGGTGACCCCCAACCATAACTTTATTATTTTTGTTGCTACTTCCTAACTGTGATTTTGCTCCTGTTATGAATCGTCATGTAAATAATATCAGATATGCAGGATGTATTGTCATTCATTGGGCCAAATTTGGTGGCACAAATACCCAATACGGCCAAATCTGAATACTGGTGGGGTTGGTGGGGGCATTGATTTTGTCGTTTGGGAGTTGCAGTTGCTGGGATTTATAGTTCATCTACAATCAAAAAGCATTCTGAACTTCACCAACAATGAAACTGAACCAAACTTGGCCCACTGAACTCCCAAAATACTGGAAGGGTTTGTTGGGCATTGACCTTGAGTTTTGGAGTTGTAGTTCACCTACATCCAGATAGCACTGTGGACTCAAGCAATGATAGTTCTGGATCAAACATGGCACAAATACCCAATATGCCCAGATGTGAACACTGGTGGAGTTTGGGGGAAATAGACCATGACATTTGAAAGTTGTAGTTGCTGGGATTTATAGTTAACCTACAATCAGAGAGCACTCCGAACCTAGCCCACAATGGATCTTCACAAAAATTGGCACACTACCTACATGGCCAACACTGAATACTGGTGGCATTGCGCAGGGGTGTTTTTGAATTTTGGGAGTTGTAGTTCACCTGCAATCCAAAAAGGAAGAAGAGAAGGACAGGCGGAGAGGTCTTCAGCCTTCTCTGCCAAAGGGGTTCCTAAGACCATCAGAAATATGTGTTTTCTGATGGTCTTTGACGACCCCTCTGAAACCCCCTCATGACCCCCTCAGGACTCCCGACCCCCAGGTTGAGAAACACTGTAGTAGAGCAATGGTTCTCAACCTTCCTAATGCCGTGACCCCTTAATACAGTCCCTCATGTGGTGGTGACCCCCAACCATAAAATTATTTTCTTTGCTACTTCATAACTGTAATTTTGCTACTGTTATGAATCATAATGTAAATATCTGATATGCAGGATGATTTTCATTCACTGGACCAAATTTGGCACAAATACCCGATACGCCCAAATTTGAATACTGGTGGGATTGATTTTATAATTTGGGAGTTGTAGTTGCTGGGATTTATAGTTCACCTACAATCAAAGAGCATTCTGAACTCCACCAGCGATGGATTTGAACCAAACTTGGCTCCCGTGACCAATGGAAAACACTGGAAGGGTTTGATGGGCATTGACCTTGAGTTTGGGAGTTGTAGTTCACCTATATCCAGAGAGCACTGTGGACTCATGCAATGGTGGATCTGGACCAAACTTGGCACGAATACTCAATATGCCAAATGTGAACACTGGTGGAGTTTGGGGAAAATAGACCTTGGCATTTGGGAGTTGTAGTTACTGGGATTTATAGTTCATTCCGAACTCCACCAACGATAAAATTGGCTCAAACTTCCCACGTGGAATCCCCATGACCATCAGAAAATACTGTGTTTTCTTATGGTCTTTGGCGACCCGACACCCCCTGGCGACCCCCTCAGGGGTCCCGACCCCCAGGTTGAGAAACACTGGTCTAATAGAAACCGCTCTCTCCACCCAGACCCGAATCCTTTCTTCTCTCCTTCTGGTACGTGGATTGGGCTGAGTTTTGGCTCAGGGCAAATTGAAAACTCTTGGGGAAGGAAGGGTTGTGGGTGCCACCCTTGGGTGGCCCTGGTGGGATGCATAGTTTCGGAGTCTCAAGGACCTCCCTGAAGAAGGTATTTGGAATACAAACATGCTTCAGAGCGTTCCTGGAATGAGAGGTGCTTCTAAGCGTCCGACCGCAACGCTGCTTCTGGAGCACCCTCACGCAATGTTTGTAACGGTTTTTGGATTGGGATTTCAGTGCGGTGGGAAAGGAGAACAATGGTAAATATTTGATGCGCTCCGGGAAAAGGTTTTGGAGTTGGAAAAGATTTCTGCAGGCTGTGGAATGTCAACCCCCCACAAAAAGGGGAAGCAGGAACAGCAGGTTTGCATGTGTATTTTCCATCCGCGGAGGGGGAAGCGGCCCTAAAGCTTCTGGAACAAACCCACACGGTGGAAACTTTTCTTCGTTGCCGAGACTATTAGGGCGAGTGGGAGCGAGCGGTGTCTCAAATCAGAGTGGAATGGAATAAGCCAAGCAGAGTCTTCTCGGCTGAAACTGAGTGGGCTGTTTTCGCTTTGGAGAAGTGCGGCCTCCTCGGTGGTGGGGAGGAAGAACACGCGCTCCGTGTGCCGGCAGCTCCCAGCCTCAAGGCCTCTGCCCCCAGTCAGTGCTTATGTAACTTCTCCTCAGTGACTGTGCCGCTCCGTGCCCAAGATACACGCGTGCATTCCTTCAGTTGCATCACAACACGCCCAACCAGCCCGGCTGCTTATTCGGAGAAGCAAGTCCTGGGCTCCGTGGCCCCCAAAGGCCGGCCTTGACGATGGCCCTGCAGAAGAACACCCTCCGCACCCACGGACTGGACTCTGGAACCAAAACCCAGCAGGTCCTGAAATCCCGTTGCATGACGAGGTCTCAGTGGGACCCCCCAGAGGCGCAGAGGGTTAAACCCTTGTGCCAGCAGGACTGAAGACCGACGGGTCGGAGGTTTTAATCCGGGGAGAGCGTGGGTGAGCTCCCTCTGTCAGCTCCAGCTCCCCATACGGAGACATGAGAGAAGCCTCCCGAAAGGATGGTAAAACATCAAAACATCTGGGCAACGTCCCCTGGGCAACATCCTATCTCACAC